CCCCCCCCAGTTTTGGCAGACAGCTGGGAGACCTCACTGGCTGGGACCTCCTTGCTCCAACTGCTTCAGCTAAGTGATCATGGACTTCTGACCACAGGCAGCAGAGGAGGCAAGCATGTGACCAAATCTCTCTGCTCTCTTACCGGCCAGTTTTAATGGAAGTTACTGAGAATCTTCGTGTCTCTACTACATTTAGTACAGCATGACCAGAGGTGGAGTCAGCACTCGTGACCCCTGTGGTTCTCCAAAATGAAAGGGAAATACCTGTTCTAGGGAAAACCCTGAGCATAATCCCCTCAGTGTTAGATAGGAAGACACTAAGCAGGAGCCTGTTTACCACCCTCACACCCCCATGTCCTACTGTTTTCTAACATATCACCCTGCCCCCTCTACCTCAACTACAAGTCGCACCCTATTGTACTTCACTGTCTGTTTAATTGTATGCATTTGTAAATTCTGTGTCCGTGTTTTGGTTTGCTGTTCTTCTGTTAATCTGATTCTGTTTTCTTGATTATTAGCCAAGCTGGAAGAAATTATAAGGTGGGAAAAAAGGAATTTTTTATAGCCACTAGAGGTTCAGTAAGCCAGTCAAAAGAATTAAAGACTAGGACACTTCCAGTTTCTGAAAAACACTGCAGCTAAGATATCATGAAGGTCTGCCAGCAGAGGTAACGATTATTTCTGTTTACATTGTAAGCCTTCCTGGTCTAGTATTAACATTTCATAAAATTTAGAAGTGCTGCAGATCCTTTCCTCACTTACGCATTTCTATTGGCATGACAAATATTTGTGAAGTTAGCATCTCAAGCTTAGGACGGGTGGGTTTTCTTTACTGTAAATTTCCTGTTATGGATGATGATTTTTTGGTGTGTGTTTTTTGCATGTCGTCTGTCCTAACAAGGAACTACTAGGGGGACAGAACACAGGCACAGGCTCCCATAAGACGATCATTCGAGCCGGCTCCAAAGGCTGGGGAGTTAAGCGGCTCTCTCCCGACCCGTCTGCAGAGACAAACTTTGCTGTGGGCCCCCGTCTAAAAACCGCATGAGGTTGTTCCTTTGTTCTCGTTCTGTGTCCTGGGACCTTGGCTTTGTGACCCGGGAAGCTGATCCTCTCAGGTCTCTGCCATCGTCCAGGTGCACTTACCGCGGTGCACCTGGTGGCCAGTGGGAGAAATGGGTTCCCAGTGTGCCTCTCCCTGGCTGTGCCAGCTCCCCGGGGAGTGTGTTATGAAGGTCCCGGGCCCCAAGGGGCCTTTGTCGTCTCAACTTTTGTCACCCTTTGGTTTTGGACTCATCCCAGTACAGTCCCGCTGGCCCTGGGGTCACGAATTAGTGGTTTCATGGCTGAAGCGCCTCACGTTTTGTGGGAGACTAGAGACACCTTATGTACCCCACCATCCTGACCGCCTAGCTGACGAAGGTCTGTGCTGTCTGTCTCTGGCTGTCTTTGGGAGTGACCCTTTGGCTCTGGGAGGGCAGCTTCCCCTGCACTCTGTGTGTGGAGGCCTCTGACTTCCTTTCCTGAGTTGTAAGGAGACTTGCGCATGTGTCACTTTTTAGACCTTGCCGTCCTGTCCAGGAGGTGGATCCTTGGAATGGGAAACACTTCTAAGTTGGAAGCTGTTGTAGTGCTCTGATGACAATGATCAGTTTTATTGATAAAACTTTCTATGTGTTCTCTGCAATTATTACTTATTCTCTTACTTTTTGTTGTCTGTGTGAATCCAGTTGGTGTCTGTGTGGTAGCATGGCTTCTAGCTCTGGATGGTGTTACTAGTTTGTTATATTTGATTGTCTTGAATAAATTCATTAATTACGTAAATTAAGAAGCAAAATAGAAATTAACAGATGTTTTTCAGAATCATACGATCTTTGAAACTTTTATGTTAAAGCTGGTTTAAGTTTCGTTTTATTATATTGTCATGTTTTTGAAAGTTATTAACATAAAATATAGTTGTTATTGCTGGATCTACAATAAGTTTATGTTTTGTGTTAATAATGTGTCAAGAAAATAGCTTGGGCAATAATTGACTTGGAAATCCCATAAAGTTTTAATTAATAAATAGATACAAAAGAAAGGTTTTTAGGTAAACTTTTTAGTGGTAATTATATTGTATATATACATTGAAAAGGTTTTCTAGGGCTGGCCAAGTGGCGCATTAGTTAAGAGCTGGCTTGGGACACCAGCTCTGAGCAGCAGGGCCCTGGTTCGGATCCCACATGAGGGCCAGTGACACTGCGACCTCTACAGCTAAGATGGTGAACAACAGCTCGACCTGGAGCTGGGCTGCCGTGAGTCGCCGGTGATGGAGTGGACTTAAGTCCCTGCTGCAGTGGGGATGCCATAAGCTATCGTGTGTGGCCGGCAGCCAGCGTGAGCGGCCAGCAGCCAGTGTGAGTTGCCATGAGCCACCCTGAGCGGCTGTCCAGAGGCCGGCGACCGATCTGCCTCACCCTGGAAGAGCGCAATGATAATACCAACATGGGCCAATGAAGCAACGTCCTCCACAAATAGACTGAAGAACAAAAGAACAGCAACTTGTCTGTTACCCTTTCCCGATTCCCCAGCGCTGTTCTCCTCCCCCAATTCCCCAATAAAATCTTTAAAAGAAAGAAGGTTTTCTAGGTGTCTTTTGTAAGTTGAAACTTCAAAGTTTTGTTATGTAAATTAAATGATGGATATTTATTGAATGTCTAGACCATTTCCAAATAAGAGAAAGTAATGACACAGTAATTACTGAAAATACATTTATTAAGTGTTTGCTTTTATTGTAGGGAAACTAAATAAATATATTTCGGTGTATTAGTAAACATGTCTCCTGAAATATGAAATATGAAATATATTTGTAAGAATTATTAAATAAGTCATAACTATCAGTCTAAAGAATCCTGGTGTGACATTTCACAGTTGCTGACTTCATTTTCACTACTGATTAACATGGAGATTAAATTGTTTAAACCTCCCTGCTGTGGTGAACATTGCTGGTGTGACATTTCATGTTTTAGTTTCTGTCTGAACACCTGCTGCATACCTGGAAGTTGATTTGTTGAACCAAATGGGAGTTTTTTGCAGGATGGAAATTCCAAACTTGTGCACAGAGGCCACATCATTTTACATTTCCACTAAGGGTTCAATTTCTCTATATAGTGGCTCACATTTGTGTTTTTTTTTGTTTTTTCATTTTTCTTGATCACAGCCATTCCTGTATGTGGGAAGGAATATCACAATGTGGTTTCAATTTATATTTCTATCATGACTAATGATGTTTAACATCTCAATGTGCTTGTTGACCATTTGTATGTGTAATATGGAGAATGTTCCATTTAAATCTATTTTAAAATCCTAGTTGCTTGTGTTTCTGTTCATGAGTTTTAAAAGTTCATTAATCTTGATAACAGACTCTTATCAGAGAAATAATTTGCAACAGTTTTCTTCTAGGGGCTGCCTTTTAGCTTTCTGTATAGCTTCTTCTGACACACATAATTTTTTAATGTTGAGGAATTCCAAATTATCCTTTTTTTTTTTTTTTTGGTTGTTGCTTGTATGTGGTGTCATATCTAAGAAACCATTGCTAAATCCAAGTACATGAAAATGCTCTGGAAAATGGCTGTCGTGCAACTTTTTTTTATACATTAGAATCAATGGAGGAGGGTTACATGAAATCCATTAGTTGTAGATTAAGGGCTTTGGAGAAAGCAAAGCGGGGAAATCTCTGGGATTGGATAAAAGTAAAATGGAGAGACACACACCGTTTTTACATTGGTGGATACAGGATAGTTAATAGCATTTTACAGCACATAGAGTATTTGGGGAACAAGATAACAATGATGGACTTGTTAGTTCCCTGCTCTAGTGTGGTGGGTTGTGCCCCCTGGGGAGTCTGGAAAAAGAGATTACTCTGATATTTTAAGGGTATATTATCTTAGATGCAAAAAGACAACAGATACAGTCAAGGTAAAGACTGACCTTTGTCAAGGAAGCTACAGGCCAAGGATGTGACTTCCTACCATGGCTCACCTTAGTTAGGAATTTTTATGTTCACACCATCCTATGTGGCTATTTTTAGTCTCCTGAGCTTGTCAGGTTTAACATGTGGTCCCTTTTCCATCCACGTGTGTATCTTGGGAATTACCCCTGAGTGGAGCGGAACAGGAAATGCTCTTCCCTCTCCAAAGGTTTCAGAGCCAGTGAAGAACCTGTCAGACCCAGGGCTGTGCCCCAGGTGCTGTCATCTGTGCCCTGGAAGCTGCCCGCTGGAATGTGGAGTCCTGGAGGTGAAACCCGGCACAGGGCTCGGCACATGTGAATTAACTGCCTCTCGCCTGCCTCTTACCTGTGCTGCCTTATGCCACCCTCCCCTCCTGCCTCCCTACTTTCCCCAGGGCCGTTTTTGTACTAACAGCGTGCTTAGAGGGCCTCTGTGAGTCACCACATCTCAGGGCATTGGGGTGCAAACCAAAGATTTATTTTGCATGTAAAAGTGGCAGCCCAGGAGGACCACACCAAAAGGAACCCAGGTCTGAGAGCTGAAAGCTTAGGTGTGGAAAGACCCCAGGGAGGCCTGCAGGGGCCAGGCTGCAGCCCCCAGGGAGAGCTGGGGAGGCAGGCTGTGGTGGGATCCTGGGCTCTGGCCTGGGCGCTGGGGCAGAAGGGGCCTTGAGAACTTCACTCCAGGTGCAGCATCTGCAGGGGGAGCTCCACACCAGGCTCCTCGGGCAGCTTTGCTGGAACAGCTACCCCCCTGCACAGCTGTGGTAAATGGACCTGTCTGCTGGGTTGGGGTAGAGTCCCTCAGCTTTACCCTGGCAGAAGGGGTCTCGTTCAAGGCTGGGGCCATTCTCAGGTCTAGAGGGCTGTTCTGGTGTGGAAACTTCAGTCCTGGGGGGCCAAAAGGCATATGTGGAAGGTCTGGGAAAACAGTGCAGAGTCAGCCCAGGACACCCCAAGAGACCCCAAACCCATAGGCCACACATCAGTCAGCATCCCTGGGCTGGTAGCAGCTCAGCACCCCACACCCCACACCCTCCGTTTATTTCTGTCCCTGTCTATCCTCCTCCAGTCTCTCAACATCTGTGTGTCTGACTAGAGTCAAGATGTTCATGAAACATCTGCTCTTGTCACCACCCTGCAGTGACTCTTTCAAGCCCCCAAGGTGTTAGAAAAGGTCCTAATCTTTTATGTCAAAGACAGCAAAGTTTAAAAATATACTTCCTCTTTCTCACCATTGTCTAATGGTCCCAGTTAAAATATACTTTCTCACCATTGTTTAGTAGTTTCAGTTAAAAATATACTTTCTCACTATTGTGTAGTAATTCCTCATTTTCAAGATTACCTAATCTTGTAACTAGGCAGATCTTGCATTACTAGTAGCCAATCGGTTTAGATTGTAAGGTCACAGTCTCGCCAATAGAGTATGACATAGTGACACCTGTGTTAGGGATAAAAACTGAGTGGACTTCCCACTCTGTGCTTGCAAGACCGGCTTATGGTGGCTCTGCACCCTTCCACAGAAGCAAAGTTTGCCTTGCTGAATCACTTTCGACTTCATGTGTCTTTATTTGCTGCACGGCTAAAATCTTCCCAACAAAGGGACTTTACTTCATCCCTAGCTCAGGATGTCTTATCTGTCCATCTTCCCTTTCTATCTCCCTACCTCTCCTGTAGGTGGGGTCCCTGACTCTCCTGTGTGCGGGGTTCCTATATGTAGGTACTAAATCTGTTTGTTTTCTCTTGCTAATCATCTGTCTCACGTTTATTTGATTATTAGAGCAGCCTGAAGATGCTTCAGGGCAGAGGAAAGTTTGTTCCTCCCCCACAAAAGCAAGAAATCGGATAGTTAATAAAAGGTGAAACTTGGGAGTATATCTATCTACATCACCGCGTCATGATATAAGATTCAACAATTTAAACTAACTTATTCTCAGGACTGAGTGAGTACATCAGTGAAACATGGAGCAATCTACCAATTTAACTTCTGGATGTGGGATTTTTATTAAAGTTTCAAAGATTGGGAATGAAGGGGAACAAAAGTTTTGGCCTTTGGGCATATTGACTTTAAGCTGATTTCTAGAAAACAAAAATAGCCATTGACCCTTCCCTTTTCTGCCTGACAGGAGGAAAAATGTGGTTTAGGAGGGGAACCTTAGCATAAGTAATCTCTTTAGCATAAGGGGGGAAGACTCCAAGCAGGAGACTGTAGACCACCCTTTCCCTGCGTCCCATTATTTTCTCGGTTGCTTAAGAGCAATTTACCTTCCATGAGTGTGACACTTCCTACATTACCTGCAAAGCACCCAATCTGACCTTGCTGTCTTTGGAGTTTTTACATGTATGTGATTTTCCCATGCAAGTGTGTTAAAGTTTGATTTTATTTTATTAATCTGATTATATTAATTTGATGATTAGCTCAGCTAGTTGTTGAGCACAGGCAGAGAGAAGTTGTTGGCAAAGGCAGAGACAACAGGGGCACAGGGAGGGGGGAGGAAAGGAAGATGTGAGGTGAACAAAGAGAGGAGATGGGATCATTCCTAAGAAAAGGTGCAGCCACAGCTGATTGTAATGGGTTATGACACTATTAGCCTTACAGGCAGGGAAAAATCTCCACCCCTGTGTCCCCCTGGCAGTTCCTACAATGGAATCCCTCCTCCAATAGGAGGGAGTGGTCAGCAGAGACACGCCCTGGAAACACCCTGGGATCACCTGTGACTCCACCATTGAATACTTCGTGCTCTCATTCAAATATAATCCTAAATTTTCTTGGTTTGGGTGCAGTTGCTCTACTGGGTTTATCCACTTCCTGCATTTTGGGAATATATTTTCTTTCTTTTAGTAAATCCTCAGCTTGCTTGCCTTTATTCATGAGGCATTGTTCCTACATCCTGGAATGCCTTCCTGTGATGACTCAGGGAACTGGCTCTCCCATAACACACAAGGTGAGAGCAAAATAATTAATTTTTAGGCCCCCCCCTTCCAATTTCGGGGAGCTTGCTAGGATATTCACTGGCTGGGGCACTGCTACCTCCTGGAAACCG